CCGAAACAAAATTTCAGAATTTTCTGATCAGTAGTTTCGCTTGTAGACAGCTTAGGGTTCTTAAATTATAGAATAGAATAGGGTTCTTAAATTATAGACACCCTTTACGTAAAACCGTGGACGGCATTTTTATAACTTCCTTCATGACAGTGTCATATTCTGCCAATAATTTGACATCAGATAAAAATTTACCTATGTTTGTATCTGAGGTACTTTTTCTGGGTCCGCGGAAACTATTGTTCAAATGATATTATTTAAAAACAACCAACATATTTCGCTGTAGACTTTGTTATATTTAGGTGCCTAACAAAGCCAAAATCTATTTATCCTTAAATCCGATTTATTAACCATTGTATAATAAAAGAAAATTATCGCGTGTTTTTGGAAAGACGATATATTTTGGTCTATAGACGCCACAATTTAAAAATAAATCTCTTCTTATCCTTTGTAAGATTTTGTGGGTAATTAACGAAATCGGATGGACAGCTTTTAGTTTTTTATATCTAGAAAACCGATCGGAACATTTTCTCACCTTTCATCATCATTTATGACTGTAGTTGAAATATTTTCTGATAGCTTCAATGGGAAAGTTTTTTGTATCTGGAAAAGCGATCGGAGTATTTTCTGACCTTTCATCATCATTTATGACTCTAGTTGAAATATTTTCTGATAGCTCGCCTGGTTTAGTGTCTTCAGTCGGAATATTTTCTGGTACATTTTTAATTTTTAGAACTGTATCTGAACAATCTGATGTCTCATTTAAATGTTCATTACTTACTGATGATTGTTTCTGTGACCTCAAAGTCAATGCTGATACCCCTCTTGATTTTCAGTTTGGAAATAAATCAGTTTTAATTTTCTTCATTTCCCGTTTTAAAGCAAGGCATAATTCTTTTTTTCTTCTTCTTTCTTTTTTTGCGCCTTACTTAAATTTTCTGCTTGGCATTATAAGATTTTTTTAATGTTATAGTCCATAAATAAAAATGCATGTAATTAGAGTAAAATAGTTACTTCATTATTTAATGAATCAAGAAAAAGATTTTAATATCCTTCAGTATTTATACTTATTTAAAAGTATATGTTCTGTATTGTTTTTACAGCTTACCAGCGGCCGAGCGGCAGCATCGCTGAACACTGGTAGTTCGAGCTGTGATTAAATCTCGGCGAACATGCTGGCTGTATGGGGTTTTCTTTATTCGGAAGACTATTGCTGTCAAAAATCTAAATTTACAAGAAGGGGTGAACGATTGTTATCTTTGATAGCAATTAAAATAAGATATTTTGACATCTTGAAAGCATTAAATGAAATTATGTTAACCTCAAAGTAAACGCAAGAAACAGACATTGCAAATAGGTTAAAGAAAAAATTGCAATCGTTTGAATTTCTTTTCTTAAAAATTTTTATGGTTAAAATTTTATTTTTTTACAAATGCAGCGGCTTAAGTATTACAAAACATTCGTTAGACTTGAATGAAACTCATCAAAATCATCAAAATTTAAAAAAAAAAAAAAAACTATCTTATCAGTGCAAGATATGAGAAACAAGTTTGAAGATATTGTGAAAGAAACATAACTTTTTCCAGATAAATGGGGCACAGAAAGAAAAAGAAAGAAAATTTAAAAATAAAAAGCAAAAAATATTTTTGGTGAGTAACACGAGGATAACAGATTTGAAAATCCTGAAATGCCTTTTAAAGCAGCATTTTTTATGCTACTGTACACAAAACAACATGAAACTTTGGTTCATACAAAATGGCAGTTGATACCATCCGACTTGAAGCCTATCTAATATAAATGGGAAAAGCTTTAAAGACAATTAATTTCTTTTCATGATCACCCTCGAAACATTTACGAGCTAGAAAATTTACGAGAGTGTCTGTACCAGTACTGATTGATCTTATTTTTGACGTATATCGACGCTATCGAGTATGCGCTTCCAGCCCAGGTTGTCCATATTAGTTATACTTCAACAAGAGAACATTATTTACTTTCAACAACCTTTGGTTTTTTTTTCAGAATTATTATTTGTTTATTGATAACTTTCTCCCACTAGTGTCTTTTATAATACTTCTATTTATTTAGTTTTAGCCGAAAGGGCTATTAGCTTCGAAACGGCATTTTGCATCGTCCACTATAAAGGGCAAATCACTTTTCAGATTGTTTCCGCCAAATATTATCGCCTTGTATTATATTTAAAGAAATTAAATAATGAACAATCTGCATGCATGTACGGATATTTCTCAAACTGTGAAAAAATAACGGTATTTAGAGCCATCAAGTTTGAAATAACGTGGTTCTCTACCCGAACATGGGCACCTGGAAGCCCGAATTTTAAATTTAGAATTGATTTTATGATTTATTTCATATTAGTTTTTGTTTAAGAAACTCAACGATTTTAAACTGTGCCAACACTGTACAGAAAAAAAAAAAAAAAAAAAAAAAAAAAAATCCGTCTCCAGCGCGCGAGCCTGTCAATCGAAAATTCTAAAAAATATGCTGTCTTTATATATTTTGTGATTTTGCTGTTGAATTTTGTGATTTTCCTCAGAAATCTTATCAGAGAAGAAACGTTAATCGCAAGCAATGGCAGCGTTCAAGATAACCCTCGGACAAAACTCTTCTCAACTAGCTTAATCACGAAGTCAGATTCCTGACTCGTGCACACATTGACAACGATTGGGCCAGATACTTATCCTCTCTTTAAGGGTATAATAATTTAGTCTGGAAGGTCACCTCCAAACTACTCAGATGTCACACTAACATTCCGCCCTTAAATGGCCAGTATGGAACTGCTTACTCCGAGGCTGATAAAGCTGAGCCGCTTGCGCAATCACTAATGCATCTCAGTTCTACACAAACAACATACCCCACCCACCCACAGAAAATATGGTTGCACAGAAATTAACAAACTTTACCTCACAACAACACGCAAACAACATTTTTCCTGTCGTACCATCAGTGGTATTTAAATATAAATCCAAGCTGAAAACCAGTAAAAGTTCAGGCATCGACAGCATCCCAAACAAAATTATCAAGAATATGGGAATACATATGCTGTTCAAACTGATCAAAATTATCAACTATATTCCCCACACGGGCTACTTTCCATCCTGCTGGAAGACTGCAATCATCTCCCCGATTTTGAACCAAGCAAACCAGCAAGATATCCTGTCTCCTACAGGTTAGTGAGTTTACTTTCTGCACTCAGCAAGATCGTTGAGCACGATATTCTTCAGAGGATCCTGGAATTCGCAGATACCAACAGCCTTATTATTGCTGAGCAGTACGAACTCCGACAAAAACACTCTGCCATCCATCAACTTTATAAGTTACGGAGATGATTTCTTCTGGGTTGCAAGACAAGATTATTATCGGAACCATCTCTTTAGACGTCTCAAAGGCTTTTGGTCGCGTATGGCTGGACAGCCTCATATACAAATTAATTACTTTGGGCATTCCAGGTTATATCGCTCACATCATCAGCTTACATCTGACAAATAGACTGTCGTTCGTGTCAACTACACTATCTCTTTCCCTAGGCCTACACAGGCTGGGGTCCCACATGGTTCCCTTTTGGGCCCTATATTATTCAATATTTACACGAACGGCATCTCTCATACACCACGCACCGCCTTAGTTAAGTATGCAGATGGTACTGCAGCTCTTAGACAAAGTGCATCTCATGGCTGAGTCATACAGGCACTACAAAACCACATTCAGGCACTGGAGTCCTGGCTGTGCTCCTGGAAAATCCAGATAAATGTTTCAAAATCTGATGCTATACTGTTCACAAAAAAGAAAAAATATGGTGCTAATCTCCATGTACTGATATTAGACACCCCAACCCCCTGGACTAAGCAGGCCCGCTACTTAGCAGTTATTCTTCATCATTGGCTCCCTTGGTCCTCACACATTACATAAATTCTTACCAAGTTCCAAGTGCTTAAACATACACTCGTTCCCCTAATTGTTCGGTCAGCATTCTATCTACCGATAATAAGTTATTTATTTACAGAACCATGTTGCATCCCGTTATTACTTACGTCTGCCCTGTATGGGGATACGCATACGAAACCTCGATGCAGAAACTATAAATTGCTCGAAATATTGTACTCCGAGAAGCGGTGAATTGTCGTTGGTTCCTTAGAAACTCGGCGATTCATCGTGAACTCAAAATACCAGAAATCAACGTTTGCATGGCCAAACTGGCCGAAACTTCTTTCAGGAAAATCCCGGATGTTAACAATGTCACTAGTACTAAGACATATCTCATAACACCTTGTAACATGTGTAGTGCATCTCACCTAATTTATATGTTATACCCCACCCACGTCTCATTCCTTTTACTTTTTCTTTTGTTTTTTTGCCTTGCTTTTATAATGTTTTGCTTACACATATATTATATACTAGTGTACAAATAGACTAATTGATTGTGCGAAACTGTGTTCTGCAATTATTGGCGTTTCTCTTTAACCACTTTAACCACGACTAAACTTCACAGTTGCGGTGCCGTGCGCTACAATATAACAAGAGGTAAAGTGTCTCATTTACGCAGTTCCGCGTGTACGAGTGCACTCCAGAGCTGTAACTCGAGAAATAAACAATCTCGTTGTTAGGCGACGTGTGCACCACGTTATTTTTATTTTTGCGATAAATGCCCATAGACTTGATGTTCACGTCGTTCGCGGTTTGAAACAAAAGCATCTCGACGTGCGTGGCACGTCTTTTTAGCGTAAGTGGTTAAACTCTGCTTTACATCTTTACACTCCCAGATTTTCATATCCAGACCAAACTGGAGACAATTAGGAGTAGCGTATTGTCTATGTCATCTGACACTGATGACGTTACGAGGAGAGTTTCAATGGAACGTATGAATGTCACTTAATTGCAATTATCAAATTACACAAACTTTACCAGCTAAAATTTATTTGAAATTCATATATATTAGAAAATCTTCAACGTTATTATACCGGGCTATCGACTTCACGCGGGTACTCGATAATAGCGTATGCTTTGCGCCTGAACCGAAGTATTGATTTTAATGTTACTTTTATTTTTTACAGGTTTTAGGCCTTTAGAATTTATCGAAATTGTTGCCACTGTGTATTGCCTATTTTACTTCATACAGTATGGCAAGGTAAGTTACCAGCTTTTTATGATAGAGGAAATATTTAATGTTTTTTACTGACTAGCATTGACTGATTTTTACTACTGCTTTAGTTAATAAATACTATTGAATACAAATGTTTCGGCAACTAAATGCTGTATTAATAGCAACATTTAAAAGCAATATTAGTATAGCTCTTCTTCATAATATTTAAAGCGCAGAATTATTTAATAGAACATTTCGATGTAATTCACATTATATTTATTTTCTTAAAGTTGTCTGGGAAATATATTTTATAAAAAATTGAAATAAAATTTCTTATGCATATTATATATCTATTGTATAAGTATAGAAGGTCAAGTTAATGAGATAATGATTTATGCTTTACGTCTCTCTGTACATATGATATCTGATAAAATATTTAATTAAACTGTATTCAAAGAAAATGCAAATAAGTAGACTATCAATCTTTCTAAACAGCTAAATTTGCATGAATTCAAGTCGATGAGGGTCAACATTGGTCTGTAATATTGACATTGTAATATCATGTCTGAATATGCCATAAGTAATTTAATTTTTACCCAGAAGCTATTTGGGATATAGTCAGTATTAATACATTTATACATGATTTCAGTTTATTAAATGTTTTTATGGAAATAATTGTTTTTTGTACTGGATAAAATTTTTTAGGATATTAACCATGAATGCTGCTAGTAATATTTATTTCGAAGCATATATGCCGGTTATCTGGAAATCCCATGTCCGAGTTAGGGTGAAAATATAATTTATTTTCAGATTTATGGCACCCAAACTACTAATACTCTCGAAAGAGTGAATGGTAAATGAATATATATAATGCATGAGAGGGAGCTGTTTTTTTCTATGATGCGTTATATGTTTCAAAGCGTAATTAAAATTTAGAACTTCATGTCGTCATTTTCAAGGTATTAATTTTTAACAAATCATGTTTCTTTACATGTACATTTAAAATTGAGAGATATTAGTAAAAATAGTATCATTGTTACAAGTCTATTCTTAAAAAATGAAAGGCAAGTATTACGTAATGATTTCAAATTATAAAATGAAGATTTTTTTTAATGTATAGATTGATCAAGCAGAAACTGAGCAGATTATGTGCATTAGATATTTCTTTAATGCAATGCTTCCTTATCAGTTATAATCAAAAAGGCATTATTTTTACAACTAACTATAAAATCAGAAAAGTGCAAATGAGATGGAATAATCAATATCTTAATTTTTCATAATAAATAAGTAAATAAAATGAGGAGAATTAAGAATAAAATAAAAGAAAATATTAAATAAAATATCTTTAAAAAAATCTGAAAACTTTCAGATTTTATATTACGCCAAAAGGGCCGTTTTTTAACGTTTTACCTTTACCTATTAATATCATGTTCTTCGCACTTATACCATAAAATTCAATTCAACATCAATATCATAATATATTTAAAAGGGCATATCTTTAGAATTTCCGATACACAGTCTCGCGTGCTGGAGATAAAAGTGTTTTTATATTTCATACAGTATTGCCATTGCTCGCTGTGAAATCATTGAGTTTGTTAATCAAAAATTGTTTAAGGTTTGACAAAATATGAAACGCATAATAAAACAAATTCCAGATTCCAAATCTGGGCTTCCAGGTGCCCATATTCGAATGGAGGACTATGTTATTAAAAATTTGATGTTTCTAGGTACCGTTGTTTTTTCACAGTGCGAGAAACATGCACACATTCATGCAAATTTTTCATTATTTAATTTATTTAAATAAATAGAGGGCTCTAATATTTAGTGGCAACAATTTGAAACGTGAACCGACATTTATAGTGAACCGATTTTTGCTTTGCCGCGAAGTGAGAACGGAATTAATTGAATGAGAAATCTATCTCTAACGAAATTCGAGGAAATTAGTTTAAATGAAATGCAGCAGAAAATGCGTATAATTTATTAGGCCCTACAAGGAAGTCATGTGGTGTCCGCATCAGATTTTTTAATCTAGTACATGTTTTGATATGCCTAATAGTTAAATAATTAATCTCGCAGAAATTAAATATAAGGGATTTAAAATTTTGTATTCAATATGAGTTGTTTAAAATGGTCGTAGAAACGGTACGTAAAAAAATTGTAATGATATCAATTCATCCTAGATTAACAACAAGCAGAGACTTGCACACTTTATAGAGTAAGGAATGACATAATTATTTCAGACACGGATTTATTTCACTACCATTTGGGTACGAAGGTTTGCAAGAAATGTTTTCCTCAAAAAAAAAAAAAAAAAAAAAAAAAACAACTTTCTTTTTCGCTAAGATCCGCGAGTTGAAAGCAGTAAACATGTTGAAGAGGTTTTTTTCGAAGTGTCTCAAAACAAGAAATTGGAAATTGGAAAATTTCAGATTACAGCAGAGTTTGTAGATTCATTAAGCTTTTTTTTTATGCTGGAGACGTAAAAAATGAGCAGTATTCTCGCCACGACTCGAACCTAGACCTCTCGAATACACGCCGAGTGTGCTACCGTTACACCGCGAAGGCATTCTGGAAGCAGGGAGAAAATTTCTAAGCCATAAGTCGAGCTCCGTCTGGCAAGGGGTGTGAATCGCCTTATATACACCACCTTTTAAAGGCAGCTGGGGGTTATGTAGTATTTATTAGTTTTTTTTAAGCCGGAAAATTCAAAAATATGTAATGCCCTCCGAGGGACTCAAACCTGGAACTCCCGAATACGCGCCGAGTGTGCTACTGTTGCACCACGAAGGCATGCTGGATGGAGGGAAAAAATACCTTATATACTCCCCCTTTTAAAGGGCGACTGGGGATTAGAGGACCCGATCGGCGAATCTGCTGGTGACGAATTATTGTCCACCACCTTTTAGTTTGGTTACCACTTCTACAGTCACTAGAACTTTTGATTAAAGAAGCTGTGAAAAATGCGCAATACCTTCGCCGGGACTCAAACCTGCACCGTTCGATTACACTAAAAGTGTGCTACTGTTACACCACGAAAGCATGCTGGAAGGAAGGAGAAAATACCTTAAAAATTTATTATTAATAATTTGAAAAAATTAAAAAGCATTAAAAATGCAAGATTTTATAAAAATTTTTAGAACAAAGGATTCCGTACCAGTTATGCAAAACTTGCGTCAGAGACATTTTATTAATAACGAAAAGATTTAAATATTCATAAATATATTATCAGCTAAATACATTATAAATGCACTTCTGCTCTAAAAATAAGCAACAAAGTGAAAACGCGGAGGAAAACAATAACTATTTAATAGGTATGCGGGATATTGATCCAAGAGGTTGGTGTGGAATCTCTGGACCCCATAGCAAACAATAAAGCAAAAGTATATATAAACGCATGCATTATGAACATCACATTGGGAAAGACCAAATGGGTGGGAAGAATGTGCAATAGAAACATGACATGCATGATATGTAAAGAAAATGTAACGGGCATGATATCTTCTAGCTAAAAGCATGCTTGACAAATGCAAGGCAAGCTTGCAATAGGATTTTTGTGGCAGTAGCTGCCATTCCTGTAGTAATACATGTTGAAGTTCGTGGAGGGTGCTTGGCGGAAACTGCGACCTGCCATTTGTCATCCTGACATGTCCCACACATGCTGTATGAGATTTAGGTGCGGGATGTAGCAGGCCACGGCAGATGTTGAATGGTTTCAGTCTCCAGATAGCTCCCCACTCTCGAGCTTTATGCGGGCAAGCCTTAGGTCAGGTAGAAGAAGTCATGTTTTACGTCCTAGGTTGCCCTAGCCCACCAGCGGCCGACTTGGGTTCGATTGCAGATCATCAGGCTATCTGCGTGGACGTTTTCGTGATTTTCCACTTGTGCAACAAGTATGAGCCAGTTACGTCAAAAAATCTGCCACGAAGGCATCCCCTTTCCTTAGGCAGATAGCTCTAGTGTGCTTTGCCTCAACCTCTATAAATCAACGTGCTGTCTTACCACGCCTATTACGATCAAGGTTGCACTTTGTGAGCTCTGTGCAAACACACGAATAGAAAAATGCAAAACTGCTTGGTTAAGGGTAAACTTTGCACACAGGATGTTTAAAAAATCTTTTCTTGACACTTGACTTCTGTCTTTTATTTATGCATACGTGTTGACAGCTCTCTGTCCGATTTCCTAGCTGCGTTTAAATAAATAAATAAATACATTTTTAAAAAATGCAAAAATGAAAGCATAAGAAAGTAGTACTTTCCAACATAACTCAAAACTCAGTCAATTAAACTTGAATACCACTAAAAAGTGAAACCGAATCGCGTATGCGTGTTTACTGCATGGTTACATAATATGTCATGCCAGCATTTTAGAAAAAGTACCTTTCATTCAAACCGAAATATTTATTTGTATTCTTCTTATTTATTTATTTATTTTGTGATCTCAGGCTTTACCTTTCTCTACAATTAGATGACACATTCTTAAATTCATCGAACAAAAAACATTTACTTCTAATAAAATAAAGACATTGACATCTATTTTGTTTATTTTAAAATTTTATTTCAGTAAGTTATTGATTCTAATTTCCTTATATTCTGACTCCATTTCAATTGTGCAAGAATTATAAGTTTCAATTACATTACACTCAGAGGATGTAATTATTTTCAGCTATGTTCCTGTCGAACTGGCATACGAAGTAATTGAACCTGTGGGTTGTGCTACTAATAAGTCACCCATTATTTTCTTACATGGCATTACAGATTCAAGAGAATATTGGACTGATGTTCCCCAAATTGTTGCGAATGCTACAAGAAGAAAGGTACGGCACTTTTCTTACATTATTTTCTGCAAAACAATGCTAGCTAAGAGGTTGAGAAAATACATTTGTATGGATTTCTTCTCAGCATTTGTAATTTTGCTGTTTGTACATACTGAATTTTTGGTATTGCATCTTGTATATTCTTTTATAGCAAAAATAATACACTGGTGTCCAATTGCTCAGGACTGATGGCAGTAGTAGAGATAACAACCACAAAATGAAAGACAGGAAAATGTGGGAATTAGCATAATGCAGGATACAGTAAGAGATATTGTGCGTATGCAAATCTGGGAATGCTGAAGTTGTTCGTCACATTATAGCGCTGATAAGAGATATAAAGTATCTGATGCGTATTGACCATTGTTGTGTTCCCGTCCTTAATCATGACAAATACTTGGTCATCATGTTGAATCAAAGACTTGCATGGTCAAACCACATCAAAAGTCTATTGGTATCATGAGCAGGTGTCTCCCTATTAATCGGGAAATATTCTAATCTCAGCTTACGCATTAAGAAGAATATCTACACTACGTGCATCAGGCCCATTCTGTGTTACGCTGCTCTTGCATGGGACACTGCTACGAAGAACCTACTTTACCAGCTTCAAGTGGTTCAAAACAAATTCCTGCGAATTATTACTGATGCCGATACATTGAGCTTCTGCACAGTGGATTTAAAAGTTGAAATTATCACTGAATTCGTTAAAAGAACTAATGAGAAGTTCTTTACTAAGGCCACCTCATATCACCACGTTAGCTACGTTCAAATTTTTAATGAAGATATTTTAAATTTTTTTTTTTTGCTTTGAATTCTCTATGAGGATAGAAATATTGGACTTCTTACTACACACACATCGTTGATGGCGACCAAAAGTTTGTTACTTAAGCTCCTTGGGGGTGGTTGTCTATAATTTTATTCATCTAACAGATTTCAATTCTTGTTGATACTACATTTGTATGGATTTCTTCTCAGCATTTGTAATTTTGCTGTTTGTACATATTGAATTTTTGGTATTGCATCTTGTATATTCTTTTAGGCGGTATTTTGCATAGAGTATCTTGACTGTATTTTGTATTCTGTATCCTGAATTTTGATTTCTGGATTGCTTTACAGTTATTCTTTTCCACTCTCTTTATGCTCTGAGGCAGTTGTCTGATTCTCTGTTTGGCTTTGGACCTTCTTGGTCAAACTCCCTTTTTCTTTTCCCCTTGCCTCCGATTTCTCTTAAGAGATATTCCCACGTCCAGAGCTCACTGTATAAGGTATTCCTCCCACTTACCTAGCGTGCCTTCGTGGTGTAACGGTAGCACGCTGGGACGGTATTCCAGAGGTTCGTGGTTCGATTCCCGGCGAAGGCAGTTGCATTTTCATCTTTTCTGCTTCTAATTAACCTAATGTCTCTACAAGTGGCGCCTGAACTAAAAGGGTTGTGGATGATGATTCTCCACACCCAGGATTTGGCGACTTGGTCCCCTAAAACCCTAGTTGCCCTTTAAAAAGGGGAGTATATAAAGTATTTCTCCCACTTACCTAGCGTCCTTCGTGGTGTAACGGTAGCACGCTGGGACGGTATTCCAGAGGTCCGTGGTTCGATTCCCGGCGAAGGCAGTTACATATTTTTCATCTTTTCTGCTTCTAATTAACCTAATGACTCTACAAGAGGACATGTCATATCCCTTCGGACTTTATTTCAGGAACCGGCAAAGTCGCATTCAGCAATAGTTCGGCATAATATCGAGTCTGAGACTATTGTTGTTCAAAAGGAAAGTTTAACGGGAAAGAGTCAATTCAAGATATTTCAATTTTCGGTATTTCTTCCCAACATCACTTAGAGATTTTACGCGAGTTCACATTATTGGCAAGACAGAAGCACGGCAAAAATAATAGATGTTGCTAGTGGATTTCGACGTCAGCCACATTGTGGTTTCAAGTACGATGCCTACAGAAAATAGATACGTAGTGTTATCTACAAAAAGGAACGGACGCAGCACAGCTACTGAGGTAGCAGATTAGTTACCTGCTACTACTGGCAAGCGAATCTCCCAAAAAACTGTAGCCAGACGTTTGAATTAAGGAAGACTATACTCCCACATTCCTGTTATGTGCATTCCATTGTCGAGACAGTAACGTACCCCCCCCCCCCCCGTTTTTAAAGCTATTGCAAGCATCGTAATTGGACTCAACAAGAGCTGAGCTTGTACTATTCTTAAATTAGAGTAGGTTCAACCTGTTACAGGATTATAGACTCCAACTGATCTGGAGTGATACTGGTACTGCTTATCGTCCAGAAAATATCCAGGAAGGGACCGACATCCGGCATGCAGTATAATGGTATGGGCCGACACTATGATCAATGGCCGCACGCCCCTACATGTGGTTGTAACTAGAAATATGATCAGCCAACGATACATTAATAATGTTCGGCTGCCTCTTTTTTCACATGTTCTCTTGTGCTGTCAGCGATAAATTTGTTTTCATGGACGACAATGTTTTCATAGAACATGTCGTCGAGTCACTGTCCAGAAGTGTCTAGAGAGCCAGGATATTCAATGCCTCGTACGTCCAGTACGTTCTCCAAACCTGAATCCGATTGAAAATGTTAGGATGCTTTCGGGAGGAGACTTGCTGGTCGACAATGCCCTCCAACAAACAAAGATACTCTCATCCATGCACTGACAGAGAAATGGGATAATTTGCCCCAACAGCTCTGTATAATGTTCTGCAGGGCATTACACGACCTGTAGAATCTTGCATTGCCCTCCATGGTAGCCATATCCTTATTGATATCCTACACGAAATTGTATGCGGATTCTAATTGCATTTTTTTCACTTTTACGTACTCAGTTCAAAATGACCATTATGTTCCTTGAACACTTTTCAAAACTTTCTGTATTTCAGAGTACAATAAATTTTTTTAATTGTTATGTCCTAATATTCTGGCATTATTTTATTCCACTTGGCATCTATCCACACTTACTTTCAGCTGTTTGTAATCCATCCTTAGCAACTGTCCACCAGTGTATTAGAAAATGTTGGATTAATTACTTATCAGGTTATATTATTATTTTGCAGTTTCTCATACTTAAATCTCATACTTTCATACTTAAATAAGATAACTACAAATCTCAGATAAAGCAGAACATTAACCAGCCTTAGCGTAATATCCTTCTTTCAAAATAGTTTACATGGATACAGCGAAGCACACGAGGACTATAGCCTCTCTTCTTTTAAAAAGACGGCGGATTAATAATAGATGTATAAAACTTACTAAAATTGAATTCTCTGTTAGAGAGGGTTAGGATGCTATCTACAGAAGATATGTATAAGGTGACATCTTTCGGGGCAAAGTAGTTCGTGTAATGTTGCAAACGGAAAAAAAGCATCAGTCGACCATTGATCACGTTGCAGCATTTGGAGTAAAGGGCGTCTGAGCAAAAAACTTGGATTTCTTCGATGAAGAACTTAATCATCTTTTGCCACAATTGCTTTATTTGTCAAATCTCTCATCCTTTATTACTGTTTTTCTCTGTTATCAAAATAGTTCCTAAGTGTTAAAGCGGTAAAGTCGCTGAACACTGGTAGTTCGGTCCGAGGTTCGAATCCCGCGAACGGGCATGGCTGCATGGGTGTTTTCGTGGTTTTTCCCATCTGTAACGTGTATACGAGCTAGTTTCCCTTAGAAAGTCCTCAACGAAGGCATCCCTTCCCTTAGACAGATAGCCTTCTAGGCTTTGCCATAATTACACGTACTCTTTTATGCAATCTGATTTTTTCACTTTTGGAGGGACGAATATGAAATTGATAGTTAATAATGTTTACTTGCTCAAATTCTGAAGCTCCTTGAAGATATATGTATTTAATGATGCTTTACCCCCTATTGCAAACATTATTTTTACCTTAATTTCTCTCCTAAATAATATAAATATATAGAATGTTCTTATTTCTTTCCAAAGTACTTATTATTTAGGTGCTGATCGATAATGAACAGAAAAGTTGGCAGCCGAGGGAGATTAAATATTCATTTTTATTTCAATTGGCATTTGCGTCACAAATAACTTAGCACTCTGCTTGTGCCAATTTCAAATTATTTACATTTTTGATAGCTTGCTTTTAGAAGAAGCAAGCAGCCTACTTTGGCTGCTTGCTGCTTTTATTACCTTGGCTGAGAAGCAGGGGCTAAGTGCGCAGTGTGGATGTTTAATTTAACAAACAGGTTCGGAAATTTTGAGTTCCGAATTAGCTACGTCATCATCCTTAAGTAAAAATCACATAACATGGATTAATCTAGAAATGATGCAGTCCAGAAAATGGTACTATAAACTGATGCTACATTTAGAACAGAAAGGAGAAATACTCAAATTAAAAGGGACTATTGCTTATTTAGGCTATAATTTTGTTTTACCTATTTTTTAGTTTACATATATATGAAATGTAAATGCTTTACCCTTTCTAAGAATTATGTATTATTCTCTTGTAATGAACAAATTTAATAGTTTACATTAGATTATTTAAATATAACATAGCCCATGAGGGCTATCTGCCTAAACGGAAGTATGCCTTTTTGGAGCGCCGATCAGCAACCGAGGGGTAAAGCCGTTGAACACTGGTTCGGCCCGGAGGTCGAATCTCCACGAACAGGTTGGTTGCATGGATACTTTCGTGGTTTTTCTCCATGTGCAACAAGTATACGAGTTTTCCTTAGAAAGTCCTGCACAAAGGGATACCTTCACTTTGGCAGATAGCTGTCGAGTGCTTTGCCATAATCAAATAAAAAAAACAAACCAATCCTTTGAGGAGGAATTCCTGAAAGGCTCATATCCACGTTACATGCAGGAAAATCGCCAAAACATTCACGCAGCGAGCGAGCATGCTGGCGGGGATTCAAAATTGTATCTAACAGTGTTCAGCGAATTTATACCCTCCTATACGGGTGGACAAACAAACACCTTAATAAGAAATTAAGTGTGTATAATGTTTTTCTTCATTATCATTATTGTTATTGAAATTACAGTTTTGATTCTCTTCTTCTTCTTCTTTTTTTTAATTTTTGAAAAACATATTTCAGAATCTTGCATTAATTTAACATTTGAAAATATATTTCCTTTGCTTGAATTTACTTTCAAGTTTTATTCTTGTGTTAGAATAAAAGTGGAGTTACGTTAATAATATCTAAAGGGATAATATTTAATTAGGAAAAATTAACATGCTTATCAAAACTGCATTCAAATAGCAACTGGAACTAATGCAATTTCTAGCATCAGAATAGTGGACAATAAACGTTTAATATCTTTTAGGTTTATGTTTTGGACGCTCGAAACCACGGGGACAGCGAGTGGTCGGATGAATTCACTTTCGATCTCAATTCGGATGATTTGGTGTATTTCATGGATAAGATGAACATTCCCAAAGGTATTTTAATAGGCCACAGCATGGGTGGACTAAGTGTAATTAGAACTTCATTTAAAAAGGTAAGAAACTTCCATAAAGAAGAACTGGATATTTTTTAACATCGTACAATGCAAAAGAATTACCATTTTAACAAAATTTAGCATTAAGGAATATGATTGTAAGCATTATGTATGGCCGACAAATAAAGGTTTTTAAGTTGCAATAGAATTTTATTTTAAAATAATATAGTAACAAATTTAAATTTTAACCACAACGTTTTCCCCTCAAATAATTTATTTGAAACATTTTCTTCGTTCTTTCAACGCCACGAAAAATTCTTTCTGAATCCGTTTTAAATCAGTTTTATAATTTTTTTGGAGAAAATAAGTAATTTATTCTTTCCATACGTACAGATGTCACGCAAAAGCATCGTTAAATTGTCAAATAGTTAAATTGTCGATAGAAATCAAAATTTATATTTTCGTTGAAATATGGTACCCGGAATTTTTCTTGACTGCAATACTTCCTTTACTTCGTACAAGAAAGTAAAAATGAGACAAAATGTACAATAAAAACTTATAGTGAAGAGTAAAGCCTGAACTATGAAACATAATTTAAATGTACAGAGTACGGAAGTCGAATGCACATTTCTAGAAGAAAATAATAATTATGATACTCAATTATTAAAGTAGTTCAATGCATTCTGTTTCTAAAGTAAATAGTAGTTACATTCGAATTATACTTGTTATTACATAGCATGCAATTGCGAAAAGGATGAGATGTATGCAGTCATATTAAAGCATGAATGCATGTTGCATGCGCACTTTTCACCGTCCTTTGTATAAAATCCTAGTAGTACACTTAGACAGTTAATATCTGTTGCCTGATCAAGAGCCACCGTTTCGCAGAAGACGGCACCAAACGCTAGTGCTAATTTATTATGCATTAAATATATGTTACGGTGAAACACCGAAATCTGGAGAATGTCGACTTTCACCGGAGAATGTCGACATTCACATAGTCTCTTGGTGTATGCCGAAATGTTTTCCAAATACTCTTATTTCTGACTTACACCGTTAAATGTTGACATTTACTATGTACTAATGGTGAATGTTGAACACATAAGAATATTACATTTTCTTCTCCGTAATTCAGTAGCGAAAAAACGCACTTGAAACTTAAAATAAGAACTTAGGAACATAAGAACTTTAAACACACAGTACATTCAAAGTGAGAAAGGAAAATAATAGAAGTTAAAAACTTACTAAATTATGTGATTTAAATCTTATTTATTGCAATAATATAAACTAGTATGACACTTTGAATTGCACAAGAGGCACTTGCTTTTACAAGTGTATTTATTTGTGGAACACTTTCTTTTGCAATGACAGCGTGTACATACATTCCTTTCTTTTCGACCTACACCAGAGCATATCTGTGATTGTCGACATACACCGGTGAGAGTCCGAATATACAAGAATGTAATGCAATATTCGATCTTTCACTGACGTATTTGGTAAATGTTGACATTCTCCGGTGAAAGTTGACATTCTCCAATTTCGGTCTTTCACGGTAACATATACATTAAATTAATATATGTATATAGACATATTCTAAATATATTACCCTGCCTCACAGAGCAGAAGCTGAAGTATTGTTTCATATATTTATATTTCTTACATTAGTTTTCATACAAATTTATGCTTTGCTTTTCCTCACATTAGTTTTCACATTGAGAGCATTGCAATTTCAGCCAGAGAAAGTTTTGATGGCTATTGTTGAAGACATGTATGTAAAGAAGTTATCCAAAGAAATCCTGGATAAAATTGTCGATTACGCAGTTTTATTACAGGAAGCTAATGTAGAAATGCCGTACAATCTGGATAAGGATGGAGCCCAGAAGTTTATTAAAGATTATATACTCTGTCGCTTACCAAAGGACTATGTAAATATAGTTTTTTATATTTTTAATTACTGTATACAATTTACAGCAGACGAGTTTTCTCAAAGTTCTTCTCTTCAGTAAAAAGATTGTAATTTAATATTTGTGTATTGATTAAAATTTCTATTTAGTGCATCACATTTGTAATCTTGATTATAAAATTTAAATTTGTGCCCAAGTATTAAGACTGTACAGCGTTTTACTTTTTCTTTTCTTTTTGGGCCAATATGTGTCCGTAATTTACGAAAACTTGGAACTGGAAAATTATTCGTTGTCATGAGTTTTCTTATATTGTTTCTTTATTTAATTTTTATCTGTTTATTTAATACTGAGGTAATTAGTGGTTTTACTTTATGCATTATATACTGATTAAAGTAACTTTATGTATTTAGAATTATTTATATTATTAAGGAAATATAAATATTATTAAGGCAATATAAATAATTTAAAAGCATAATTTTGCACTGAATTATTGGATTTATTTCTAGAATATTTGCAAAATAAGGATTTTTTCTAATGATGAATATGGCAATGAAAACAATTTCTAGAGAATGGAAGCTTTTGATTTATTTGCAATATTTAGAAGAAATCCAGACAGATAGGTACACCTAAAATGCATGAATCCTTATTTATTTGATTTTTATTCGTAATATGTTAAAATTAAATTTGAATGCTCTAAAAATCGAATTTTCATTTGTTTTACTGATCAGAGTTGTAAAAAAAAATCTTGCCTGCATAGTGGTGTTTCGACATAGCGGTAACCGCACTTTCATAAACATTGCTTTTTACTAATCACGAACGAATCCTGAAAGTGTGGGAACCTTTCTAATGCATTGCGTTTATGAAAGTCTTTTCGAACAGTGGCCAACTTGTAACAGATTGCCAGCACTTTTACGTATTACGCATAACCATTAAAAACGGGTCTAAGCCCGTTTAACCCAACCGACGGTCTAAGACAACCGACGCGGATTTAAATACACTCTCACTGCCATTACCTGTAAGCGTTTTATGTACTTATCATGTCATCTTTGCTTTTACTCTAATTTTGAATATTAAGCGTTACATGGTAGAATTCCCTAAAGAAATATTTTATCATTTTTTCCACATTTCTACATTTACAGCAATTTTTTAAGACTTTTTCTACAAACGGTCTTTTACGTGTTACTTCATTTATGAAAGGTTCACAAGATCAGGAAAAATCAATGCACACACACACATATATATAGATGCGTGTAAGTGTGTGTACATTGTTTTTTTCCTGCTCTTGTGAGTAAATAGTTGTAATTTAACGAATTATAAGAACAAACTTGTTAATAACCATGGTAATGACATTTAGTAATTTAATGACGAAAACATGCGAACATAATTAGCATAATAACACATAAAAAATAAAAGAAGAAAAAGGATCCATCCATGGAATCATAAAAACGGGATAACATCATATTACGCGGAATCACATCATCACAATTCCATAATAAGAATTCAGAGTTCTTTTGGTTTTTGAAACTTCATTACCATTTCCATCTGGAGCCTCGTCTGCCAAGTAGTCACGTGATCTTACTGATGAACGCGTTCCCATTATTACTTATAAAAAGAAGCATATCCCCCTCATATATGTGTGTATGTGTTGCAGAGATCATTTTCACTTAAATTATATAAAATAGTATATAAAAGTTACATAAAGTTATATAGTGTTATATAAAAACGAGAGTACGAATGGTTCTCCTTTCCTATCAATCATTTGCCCAAGTTCGGCTTCTGAACGCGGCAGTGTCAGGGTATCCAAATGGCGTAAATTACATCTCAAACATGTTCGATTGATAAGAGATCAGGAGAGAATGGTGGCCAGGGAAGCACCAGTACGCCTTGCAGCGCACCTGTACGTTGGCTGATGTGAGCAGTGTGTGGTCGGACGTTATCTTCCTGTTAAAGGGCACTTCTTGAAGATAGGGGCGTGTTACCGACCGCAGCACATCATCCACGTATCGTTGGGCCGTCGTAGGGCCCTGAATACAAACTAGAGGTGACCTCGAATCGTACGCAATTGCGCTCCAAACCATGATACTGCGTCATAGCGGCTGGGGCGCTCTACATTTGCTGCCTGACTAGACCTCTCTCTACATCGACGAGACACATGTACGCGTCGGCTATTATTGGAGAAACAGAAGCGTGACTCATCCGAGAACACGACCCTATGCCATTCCATCATCCACGTTCGAGCCTATTACCATTGCAGACGTTGGCGTCTATGATGTGGGGTCAATGGCAGTCTTCTTAAAATACGCCACGGGTGTAGGCAACTAGCCACCAATCAACGGCAAAAGGTTTTAGTCGACATGAGAATATCCAGGGTGTCTTGAGCATGCAGCAGAAGGGAGGTAGAAGTGGCTTGCGGAAGCGCAACCGCTTGTCGGCGGATGCGTCGATTCACGCGTACTGACATCACTCTGGCTGCACTGGCACCTCTCGAGTTTACCACACTTCCTCGTTCTTCATCGTCACCACAGCATGTGCACTTTGAATGCCTCCAGGTGTGTGTAAGCTGAGATTTGCCGTATAGACCAACTTGCCTTTCTCAGTCTGATCACCATGCCTCTCGTAAAATCGTCTATCTGCGGAACTACCTCAGATGACGATAGCCTGACATTCTGTGCTATTACACGCGTCCTCCAAGGCAAAAACAAATTTTTAACGATGATTTGCCTAGCATAAACAACGGCACGAAAATTGAACATTCTGTAGGTTCCTTTTCTTATATCTTCTTCAACGTGCGCTGGAGAGCTGCGCATTTCACATCATTCGCATAACTCGGTGACCTGCGTCTTCCTGGAATCTGCATAATGTTGGGATCACTCATTTTTGGTGTTGCATTTTCAATGTCGAATAGTATCTTAATTAAAGTTAGAATTTTGTTACATATTTTTTTATCTTACAAATACATTAGGAAAAAACAATATGTATAATTCAACTTCTACCTATACAGTTACTCATAATCAACACGAAGGCACTGAATGTAACTAAATTTGAGAAAATAACGTTAATGCATATTAGCAAAACTTATGACACAAATTTCCTATTCTAAAAGCCTACCTTGTTCGATTCATTTTTGAAACTGAAGTCATGGCACCTGAAACGGAGGTCATGGTACCAGAAACGGAGGTAAGTCATGGTACCTGAAATTGTCTGATCAAGATTTTTGCATATGATTATGACTTGCGTTGAGTCAAACAGCAGGCTTTTACCGTTGGCAGCAAAAACGTTCGCAAGAGAAATTGAGAATGAATTTTATTTTAGGTATTTTGGTTCCGAAACATCGCGTTTTTACGCGAGGTTAAAAGAATGCTCGAGTTTAGCAGCTAACATGGGGATATCTTTCTTACCGGGAGTTCAGACCCTGTTTTCGCAGTTAACCCCCACCCCCGAATGCTCGCAGCCCGATATTTTTGAATGCGTGACTGAGTCGGAATGAAACGTGTCATGGTCGCAGTTAGAAGTCTAATTTCGTTCGTGTGATAGATTATTGCTTTAGAGTGTTGGAAAACTAAATACTTTGCAACTAAAATGAGCAATCAAAGAATGCATAGACTGATTCTCGATGACCACTTCTGAACTGTTGTTCCATTTCCTTCCGCAGCCCTGCATGCAAATTACATATCGGGGAACTCCGCGTTTGTATAACTATGCATATTGCACGAAATGTACACGGAAAGTGGCATTTAGGCCAGAAACACGTTTTCCATACTACTTGATAGATCTTTGTAAGTCCTCAACGCACCATTTGCGCACACATATTCCTTTACAAAATATCTGTATATGGATCCCTTTTTGCTGCTTTTATGTTTTTGCCAGATATTTTTTAAACACTCTACATACTAAAATACTTTACAAACCGAATGGTAAGGTATGCAGGATTACGATAATAGTATGTTGTTTCATTAAATTTTAACACTAGAAGCTCTCCAAATCATTTAATCCAAATCTACAATCATTTAAAAAATAAAGGAATGTACTATTAAATTAATTTATATATTGTGTCTCTCTAAATTAAGATTTTAAGATTATAGGAACACTATTATATCTCTCTTTGTGATCTGTTTCTTTAAGCCAGCATTAGAGAAGTTTAAAGCTGATAACCAGCTCGCCGGCGATTTAAAACTCAATTCAGATGGTCGCTATGGCGTCAAATCTAACTTAAAGGTATTGGTGAAAGCAATGAGAAATGCAGACACTCTGATGGAAGAGCCTAGTGGTGTTTATAACGGACCAGCATGCTTTATATATGGCGCAATCTCATCATATTCAGTGTAAGTATTTCTGGTTTGGTATCAAATGAACAATGAAATCTGAAGCCATTCCTTTTTCTTATAAATATTTTTAACTGTAGAACAGTTTGAGTAACAGTGATCTATTCTTCACTGAAAATAAATATTATCCAATCTTAGCTTGTGCTATAATACAAAAATGTTGCTTCTCATTTTGAGCACTGTAAGAATATACAAATGCATTTGAGCTAATATAAGGATAGAAGGATAACATATTAATAAAATTTTCTCATTTTTGTTATCTAAGTAAAAGTTTAAACTAAAGAAGTTTCTGACCAACAAATGGTATTTTATATTTTTATTTTAAAATTCAATTATATTTTGTCATTTTCGTATAACATATTAAACACTTATGGATAAATCCAAAACAAAACGAACAGACATGCTTGTTTTCCTGATGCTTTGAAATGTTCTACATGGATAAACGTCACTGAAGAAAATCCAATGAGAGCTGCAAATGGACTATCTAATGCTATGTTTCCAAGAATGGAGTAATAGCATATTGTAATAGTACACGGGTAAAAGAAATGAAATCCGTGTGATTCTGGTCTTCATTTTTTTTTAATACTTTTACAGCTTAAGAAAGTGTATTAACTTCTGATCATCGAGTAACGTTTTACAAATGAAGATTAGTAGTGTTCTTAAATTAATAACGCATAAAAGCATGTAAGTAAATCCAAATAATAAAACAAATACCAAACGCATAAAAGTAAAAATATGTGTATGCTAGATAATATGTAGATCATAAAAGATGTGTGTGTTAGAAATTTAATTATGAATTTACGTTCATGTGGTTATTTTAAGTGCAGTATTTCGGCAGAAATTCAATAAAATGCGACGGCATTTTGTCGAATATGAAGGAAATATCTGTAGATGAAAGAGTAACTCGTTATACTGAGATTAGAGATATGCGAATGTTACAACACATTGTACTAGGCAGCAGAAACTCCGCAATCGATTATTTGATTCAGTTTGGGTGACAAACCATCCTTTACAATTACAAAGACGATGACGGAGGATGGCGTATCACTGTATTCACTGTTCATTTTGATCCTGTGTTAACAGCGGTGACTACTGATTGAGCCTGAATTTGATATGGCTATTTATCTTCTCCTTCTGCCATTACTGAACATAACATAGTTTATCAGCATGGTATTACTGTATAAACTGCTATCATGAATAACCCGCCATCCTGAGCAATGACACACCGACAGGTCGAAGAAATGCTGCAGGCAGCTGCAGTACTCTATTCACTGCGCATATCAAAAATGCATATTTAAACAATTATTCCATGCTTACCGAAAGATAAAATCAAGAAACATTAATTAGGTATTTTTCCAGCCAACTTAGCATGCCTTCGTGGAGTAATGGCCAGCACATTCGGCGCTTATTCGAGAAGGCAGAGGTAAGAGTCTCGGCGACGGCATTGCTCATTTTTCATGCACACATGTTTCAAAAATACCCAATGATTCTGCTATTTTCTTTACGAAGTATCAAGATGATTGCTTGCTTGCAAGATCCTCAGATCTTTAAATAATTTTTTTTTTTTTGTTTTTCCCTCATGTGAATGCTTTTAAGATAAATAAAAATTTGGAAATATCAGTTAATATTTTAGGAACTGTAACAATTACATCTCGTCTGACGCTGGTCTGATTATTATTTCATCTATATTTATTTATTTATAGACAGGTTGAGTCGAAACGGAAGAGCAAAGAGAGACCAAATTTTAAACAAGAACTGATTAGTTAAAACTTTGGCAACTGTATTCTGTACTATAGATTTGTCTCAAGTGAACAGATATTTCTAATTGAAAACTGGATTTTTTTATATATGTGAGTTTTAAAAATTCATTTCTATGAAATAAATATACAGATTTTTATTATTCTTATGCTTATTGAATAGGGTGTTCGAAAAAGGAATATTTACAAGTTTTATCTTCTTGAATATGGGTTCTAAATATGTGCTACCAGTTGCCACATTTTTCAAATTTATGGTACATAATTACGAAAATGGTTTCATATTGTAAGTGAGAAGGTTCTGTAAATGTAAACTGTGAATCTGCATATGTCTTGGGTACAAAAGCAAGTCCAGTTACTACAATATTCATTATATTTGAACAAAAATGACCATAATTTTGAATGCAAAATTAGTATAGGTACGTGTAACTTAAAATTTCATGGAGAAAATTACAAATTTATTAGCAAACGTTCTTCGCACAGTATGAAATTTTAATCAAAAAGATATTCACCTTTCATTTTTAGCTATTACCTAGATTAGATTGAATAATTATGAATTTTAGTCTATAATTTCATGTAGAAAATCATCATCTAATAGTCAACTTTTACTTAACTGAGCAATACTGGCAACCCTCCCACAGAACGAGGCAATTATGGCGATTATTTCAAAATCATGCATAACATGTTTACGTAGTTACGTAAATAAAATCAGTACTCAAACTTTCGTCTCTCTCTCTTCGAAGCATGCACTCATTCCTTCGTTTTTGCTCTGTTTCTCGTTTCATGGTACACAAGATTTTTTTTCTTTGTATTGCACTTATAATACATAGATAACAGTCAATTCGAAATAGAAGTATTAATGGCTGTACTACTGAGTAATTTTTTTAATTGAGTAATTTATTTTTAGATGTTATTAAAATTTTTAAATTAAATTTAATAAAATTTATCTATTCAAGATTATGTACATTTAAACTACGTACCCTTAAGCTTGCACCACACATTTAAAACATTCGGAAAAATAACTCTTTTAGACAATTTTCCTACTTTGTCAACGATATGAAACAGCCAATCACTACGGATCCTTTTGGGGTTACAGTGTAAACGAGAAACTAATTCAGCCAATCAATTCTAAACTATGGATGATGGTTGATGACAGGTGATTCGATGCTGATGATAGGTTGTTGAAAACCAACGCAATTTCTTGCGAAAGTAAGGGGAAATCGTGTTTTTTTCTCTCGCTGTTAAAGTAGATAGAAAATTTGTCTAAAACAGTTATTCGTCTGAAATAAATGGATATCTGATTCCAGTGTTATAGATAGAAACAACTCGCAAATATTACGACATCATTTAGTATCATTGCTATTAGTTCTCGCATTTATTTCCCATTTTGTATTTTCCTTAGTCAGCTTCACTTCAGGCTGATGGTTTACGATTGCAATTTTATAGGCTTTCTGAATAAAAAAACATTCTCTTTTTTAGAGAGTCTCGGTTAATCCAACTCCAAAAAATAGGCATTTGAATGTGATTCGTTCTGAGATCTGTCCGAAAATTTTGCATGCAATGATATAAAACAATGCGTATTTAATTTATAAAAAAGCAATCAAAGAAAGAGACTAACTGGAAAACATGCTGCCTCATGGGACCACATGAAAGGAGAGTTTCTGTATATACATAACCCTCACACAAACAAATTTAAAACTGCTTTCGTATAATTTTCTGTCTTGTGTTAAAAAATTTTGTAGTAAGAATTTCACATCTAAGATCAATATTTAGGGAAATAAAAGCCCAAAGTTTTTGAAAAATTTATGCTTTACTATTATATATACATATATATTAATTTATTTTTTATATTTTCAGGGGAGCGGATAAAGATCATATAAAGCAATTTTTCCCAAGGGCTGAATTTATCGAAATAGATGATGCTGCTCATGATGTGCACATAGATCAACCTCTTCACTTTACGAAAGCAGTTACAGAATTTATTTTTCAGAATGAAAATTTATCCTAATATTGTATGCAAATCGATATAGGAAGAAGCATCAATATTTCTTGTTTTTCAAGTCAATGATTTGAAATATTACAGAGAAAGATTTAATTCAAAATAAAAACGTAATTTCGAAATTAAGAGATCTATTAATACAATATAAATTCAGAAATGTTTTCATTTGTTATTTAAGTATGATCTATGCAACAGTCGTGTAATGTAGAAATAAAATACTTTTTCTCTGTTTGTTATTTCCTTTAGGCTTGTATTTAACTCTTCTATATCCAGAGTCAAATTCGCTAAGGAAGTGACTTACAGTTATAGAAAAACATCAATATTCATTGAAGTTTCAGTAACATTTCTCAACACCCAAAAGCGAAGCGATATTGTTTTAATTTCGCAGGAACAATGACACCTATTTCATAAAACTTAATATTCACATATTACAAATATAATACAAAAATACAACAAATATAATAATATATTACAAAAGATAGGCGAAATATTCGTTTTCTTAAGGAAAAACAAGAATCTGATGTTTCTTTCAATGAAATACGCTGTAATTCTGCACTCTGTAATTAAGAAAGGTATTTCTTTTAAACTAATAGTGGCATTTCTTTGATAACGACGTATTTCTCCCTTTCTCTGTTTGCCTATTAATATATTTATGCATTCTGACTCATTTTATACGAGAGCTTAGAACATTATGAGTTTTTCTGAAAAATTATTGATTAAAGTGAATAACTGTAATGACTTAAGTATCGGAAAACAAATTTCCCTTCATCTTATAAATAATCGCTTTTAGTTAACAAATAAGAATAGAGTATTTTTAATTTGAATATTAATATTTTTAAAAGTGCAAGTTTTTAAAATATAATTTAATTCTATTTGCTTCATACAGAGTGAAAAAAACTTAAGGTCGAAGTGGAGAAACTAAAACAACTGCTAAGAAGCTGGCAGAACTGTTCAAACGACAAATTAGGAAATCACGTAGAGTTCGGTATGTGTAGCATGCGCAAATTTACAGCATGGCATATTGCAAGTTTGTGAAAAAGACATAAAGCAAGGGAACGGTAGTAGAGGACAAATGACAGTTCCAGCTCGGGAGATTTAGGGAGCTCCCGAGAAGAAAGGCTGAGTCGTGGGAGGGAGGCTTATCTGAAAATGGAGACAGGGAGTCTTATCAGGAGGTGGATGGATGGGAGTAGGGTAGTTGCTACGTCACAGAAAAAGGACGTGTGCTGAGGTTTTATTAATTTGGTGATTTAGGCATTGAGTAGTTATATGATAATGTGTACTTATTTATATTGAGTTCTTAAAAACGTATATCAAGTAGGTGTTTTAATTGACTGATATAGTTCATTTCCTTAAACAGATATAAAATGAAATGTTTCCTTCACAGTATAACCTCTTCCGAAGATAATTATTTTCTTACCTGTATTTATCCTATGACTGAATATCTGCAAAACTGCTACATGTCATCACAATTTAATAAGAGATTATATTTACTGATTTATCGGAGGTGATTTCCCTTTCGTTAATAAATTTTTAGCCTTTGTGTTTTTTCTTCGTATTCCAACTGTTTTACTACGTATATGATGATTATCTGCTAGTTACCCTGAATGAGGATTATTTCTAATTATTAATGATTGAGTGATCCTATACACTCAGAATTTTACCTTATTTCTTAAATCTTCTGTTCATAATATCAGATATACTTTCCGTAATCTTAATTACATTACTCATTTTTATTATTAAATTCATTTCACCCAGAGTTTTTTCATACTTGTTAGCCATACTTTTAACTTATTTGTTATATTTTACGAGTGTAATTACTAAAACACGCGTTTTTATGTGTTATATTATTTAATGTTAGATGTAATTTTTAACTTTTTTCGTTCTTTCCAATGTTAGCGATCTTCAACATATTCTGTATTTTAACATATTTCATACTTTTTATGATCATATAGATGACTTGTATTTAATTTTAGATGTAACATTTCTAGCTTATTTTGTACATTTTAACCTTCACACTATTTAATTTTATTCATTATATTTAACCAATTCATATTTTCACACTATATACATGACTTTTACTTGATTTCTCGCATACATTTTAACCTCCATAATTTCCAATATAGTCCTAATTTTAACATAATTCCTAACATAATTCGAAGCATAGCATCCATAAATTTCACATAATACTACAGTTACACAATACAAACTGTAAGAAAAGCTGAATAATCTATATTACATATAGAACAGAGATTACAATACTCAAGGACCTACTTAAAGAATACTTTAAACTTTTCAAAATTTTATATAATTCTATGCATATTTCATATATTAAGCACATTTCACGTTTTTAGAAATGTAGCATCCCGCTTCCGAAGACAGTGGCCAATATATCCAACCTTGTGAAAGTGAATCATCTAAAATAAGAAGGGGTAGTTTTATTATCTTCAACCGGTAAACAAGTGATTAGGAAAGTGACGCCTGTTAAACTACCACTGCTAGGATATGTACATATCCTTGTTTAACAAGGCCTCACTTCCCTAATCGCTTGCTTACCAGTTGAAGATAATAAAACTACCCCTTCTTATTTTAGATGATTCACTTTCATAAGGTTGGATATATTGGCCATTGTCTTGGGAAGCGGGATGCTACATTTCTAAAAACGTGAAATGTGCTTAATATATGAAATATGCATAGAATTATATAAAGTTTTGAAAAGTTTAAAGTATTCTTTAAGTAGGTCCTTGAGTATTGTAATCTCTGTTCTATATGTAATATAGATTTTCAGCTTTCCTTATAGTTTGTATTGTGTAACTGCAGTATATTATGTGAAAATTTATGGATGCTATGCTCGAATATGAGCTTAAAATAGTTTTGTGCAGTATAAAATGTCATTAATTCGTTGTAATAGTTTGCGTTGAAAAATATAAACTTCTATTTTCGGGAAAAAAAAAAAATATCAGAATGTTAAAAATCATGTAGTACTTTGGTTGGCCTTCAAGTTCGACTGAATTGATATAACTTCGGATAAACTTTACATAAGAATATCTAAATGTTCAATGGGAATTCAATTTTGAAAATAGTTTTCCATTTTTGAGACTGTTCATTGCACTAAGTCTTCTAGCTCTTATGAAATATCATTGTTATTCACAGATTTTCATGAAAGTGAAAAATATTTGATTTTTCCTTGAAATTTTTAGTGTCATTCAGTAAGCACCTACAATTAACTCGTATGGCACTCTCTCTAATTAATGTGAAATGATATATATTCTTTTAAAAAGATTGGGCTATGTTATTAGAATCTACGAAATAGTGAAAGTTTTGGTATAAAACGATAAAAATCTTGCATGAAGTTCGGTATATGTTCACTCTCATTATGAAGATCTCTTCCTAAATTCTGAAATAGTGATGTTTTCACTCTTATTATTTTCAAAATTTAGTAGTTCATGAATTAAATAAACTGTATAGATGTACTAAACCTTATCGAAAATTCAAATATTTTATGAATTGATTGGTTTTACTTAAATGGTTTAGAAGTAAATGAGCGGTTATGTTAGGCAGTTTCTTTCAGAAATATATCCGTATTTGAAACTTGTAGATAATTTGCCTTACTGAAATTGTTCTAAATTTTTAAAAAAAATATATGGGTGATATGTTATCATCTAGAGTGTCTTTTTCTCTTGAAAATAGAATATAGAGTTATAATAGGATTGAATCTTCTTTCTATAGCAGAATTTATTAGTATCTCTAGAAGAGGATTTAGAAAAAAAAATGTTCATGTTTTTGTAAAAAGTAATGTAGTATGTGTTATGTAGAAAGTGTTATTCAAAAGTTTCAGAGTGGTAAAATATGATTGTGAACTGACGTTTTCTGAAATAATCAATGTATTTCTCAATATTAGAAATTAAATAGTCAAAACTAGAAGTCTTTTACACAATGTGAGCATGAAAGCCATTGAAAATCTCGTTGCAGTCGTATAAAATTTAACTCAAAGATGAAAATTGTTGCTTGCATGATTAAACAATATCAAAATTTGGTTTGAAACTAAATCACTGAGTGCTACATATAGATGTGATCGTGATTGTTTTAAGTTCTTTGAGTAGAAGATATCCTATTTTTTAAGTAAAATTATTTTCCTTTTCCAATGAAAGTAAGTCTAAAGCTAAATCTTTGGAAAAGTGAGATATATTCGGATTTTTCTCTGTTAGAAGAAATGCGCATGCCTACATAAAAATAAAATAGGAGTATAACTGAATTTTCTCGTTACTACAAAAGGGTAGATTTAGAAAATAAAGGAAAATTTCTAAAAACGTTGGTTCATTACCTACCTTACTTCTTAAAAGTTGATAAGTTATAAGAAAAGTCTTTTTAACCGTATACAGCTTATAGGAAATGATTTGTACTCAGGTTTTATATTAATGCATTACAATATTTACATTTCGTTTAAGTATTGGTAAGGTTTTACTGTTCCTAATGAGTAGGATTTTCTTAATGTGTATGTGGATATTTAATTGCACTTTCCTCAACAACGCTTGGGAGTAATTTAATAATATGTCGCATAAATATGCTTTTCTTTTAAAAATCCTAATTGAAAGTTAATTAAAATTATTTAGTATTAAATGTATGTAAAATGCTAATTGTACTACAGAATGATTTATGACTTTTTTGTGTATATTGACAAGGGTAGATAAAGTGGACTTCAGGTTTTTCTCACTGAAAATAAATTTGGAGCCAATAAAAATCTGTTATAGACTCAGTTATGACTTAGGTAAATGTAGGTAAATATATTGCTTTCTATCAATACATTTTCTAAACATTTGTTGGGAATTCTGGATAAATAACTTAAATTCTGTAAAGGTTACATTCTCATTTAGGTAAAACCTTAAATATTCTACAGTGAAAAATGCTTATTTCATATTTCGTTCTTAATATTAAGAAAATAGTTCTAAGATAGTTATTCTCTAGTATGGTAATACTACAGGAAAAGTTAAATGATTTAGATGGTGTTTGGAGTTTTTCTCTCAGAAAGAGGTAATATTTAGCAAATTACAGTTCTCGAAAATGGATAGAATGTTCCTATAATGCAAACATATATGTACAATTATAAGAAAACATAACACTTATTTGGGCGTAATTTTGACTTGAAAAGGGGTTATTCCTCATCAAATGTGTATTAGTAAGGCATGTTTAACTGCTATGATAAGTATTGTACGAAGAAAGTTCTGTATTTGTGATGAAGAAGGTTAAAATATTCGAAATTATAGTGGAGATTTGGGTCAAATATCTCTTACTCTTTCTCTCTTTGGTTCCTTCTGTAAATATAAGTATATTGGTAATGATATATATTGTGTAAAGGTATGGTAGTGTTTTACGAGATTTCAACCATAAGAAAA